ACATATAGAAACACACCGTGACTAGCACCCATGGGTTTTCTCAGATTTGTGGGAAAACAAACCACGTTTATATACAACATATATATGCTTGAAACTCAGATTGTTATATAGTCTACAAAGTTCAGAAAACCCAGGGTGCACATCACATCCCGCACTGAACACATTTTGGTTTTCAAACCCCCAGCGACTTCATGACGTCCTTTCGCAGCTTGTAGAGCTCCAAGAGCGGGATGCCCTGCTCGACGTAGGGAATCATCTTCTCGATCACCTCATGATGCTTCGGACAGCAACTGGAAATGATGCTCCTCAGCTTGCCGCCGTTATCGTAGTTGCGGATGTAGGATTTCTCAGAGTAGAACTCTACCTTGCAAGATCCGTACTTTTCGGCGGACAGCCATTTGTTAGACGGCGAAGTCGCCGCCGCCGGCTTCGGCTTCGCCGCCAGCTTCGCCACCTTCGTCTTCGCCGCCGACTTCGCCTTCGCTGTGGCTTTGGGCTTGGGGCTCTTCTCTTTCGGCTTGCCGGTGGCTTTGGGCTTCGAAGCACCCTTCTTTTTGGCCACAGCCACAGACACCGGCGGCATGAAAGCCATGGCATTTTTGAGGATGTCCAAGTCGCACTCATCCGTGGAAGAGATCACTTCCACATCCTTGGCCGGCTCAGCCCCGGCACCAGTCTTGATCTTTGCCTTTCCTGCCTTTTTGTTCTTTGCCTTTGTGGCCTTCTTCTTCAGGGTGCCCTTCTTCATAACGATCTTCTTCGGCTTGCTGCTCTTATGGATGTGCACAAACTTCTCCGCAAACTTCTTCGGCTCGCTGCTCTTCAAGGTGTCCGGAAACTTGGTCGGGCTGCTGTTCTTAAAGATTTCCGGCAACTCCGGGAACTCAGCATCCTGCAAAGGAGTAGGCTTCTCGTCACACCGAAAGGGAACAGGCTTCTCATCCTCCTTCACGGGAACAAGGGCCGTGCTGGGGGAATCAAGAGGCTTCGGGGCAAACTCCTGCACCTGCACCCTTTCCAGGCAAAGGTCAAGCTTCCTGATTGTATGTTTGCACAGACTTAGATAAAAAAGTTTGCAACACTTTTCTTTCTTCCGTCACACGAATTATATATATACAGCGAAAAAACACGAAAGACATATGTGCAGCCACGGCACACTTGATCCTCGTGCGACAGGGACCTGTAGACTTTCCGCTTGAAGCTCTCCTTCTGCTTCATCGCACGGAGGTGGCTAAGAAGAAGACGGATGGCGGTGTCCATCTTGTCCACAAGGTCCTCTGCCTTGTAGTCTTTGTGGCCTTCGAGCTGCAGGTTCTTTTGCTCGTGAAGGATCCAAAAGCTTCGGGTAACCCGCTGCGACAACAACTTCGTGTTCGGGGCGAGGCGAAGAAGGTCAAACAGCAGCCCAGCTGTCTTTGCCAACCACGGACCGTGGACGGCAGTGTGCCAAGTGTAGCTTATTGGCCCGCCCGGAGGGGGGCACAGTAAAGGCCACAGGTCCTTCGTCTTCTTGAACTCGAGAAAGCCCAACACCACCTTCGCCAGCTCCGTTGCTGTAATAAGCGGATCGGCAACCACTCGGTCCTTGGCATTTTTGCCCGTTGCAGCGGAAGCGCCCTCCGCCAGCTTGACCGAAGCTGCAGCTGCTAAGGAAGCCATGCTCGCAAGACTGTATATACTGTGTATGTATAGGATTTATGATTTCTCAAAAAAATGGAATGCATTTGTCTCTGTCTCCATCCAGCCTCGCACTTACCTCTGGGTCTCGTCTGGACCAAACACACAGCTGCAACGTCCGAAAATTTTTCTCACTCTCGGATCTCAGAAAAGTATATATATATATATATATATATAGTAGATCTCTCGCATGTAACCTACAAGAGTCTCGCACAGGTAAAGGTGGACTCCTCGCAGGTATAAACTATATTGTGATGACTCTCGCAAATGTACATGTACCGATTTCTCGCATGTAAAAAGCACACATCGCAAGCAATCCGCCGGCTCGACCCAGCACAGAATCAAACCGAGCTGCGATTTCAACATGGAAAACCATGGCTTAACAAGTATGCTTGCAACACAATTCTCATAATTTTATCTTCACACCTGACCATGCCGCACTGTACAGTCGCAGGAAAATCTCATGCAATCAACAAGCAGAACCATGATAAAAGAAACAAAACCAACCAAAATTAGCTTGCATTTCACTTCTTCAAATTCGGGAATGTGTAACCTAAAAACATGTATTTTGCAGTGTAAAAAAATTTACATTGCAGTGTAAATTTTTTACTATACAAAGTAAATTAATTTACACTTTTTTTTTACGTAAATTTTTTCGTAAATTTGAAGTGTAAACCAAGCTTTGTTTAGTAAATTGCTCGCCACCTAAAATTAGGTAAACAGCAGGGTCAGGGTAGACGTGGCCCATTCGTGGAAGGCCAACTACGAGTCGGCAGAGAAGAACCTGGACTTCGTCAGGGAGCACTTCGAAGCAGAAGTGCAGGAAGGCTTGATGGTCCGGATGGGGGAGGCCGAGTTTTGGGCCACATATGGAGAGGAGGCGGCGATCTCTGCCATCGCGGTGCTCACTGAAGAGGGCCCGCCGCTAAAACAGCGTATAGTACATGATGCATCGCATGACGTGTTGCTGAACCACAGGATCCGCTGTCTTGACAAAGTGAGATCTCCCGGAGCCCGGGAGAAAAGATGCCTGCTGCGCCGCCTCAAGGAGAAGCGGATGGCTCCGATGGCGGTCACCGGCGACATTGCGAAGGCACACAGGAGATACCGGCACCGTCGGGACGAGTGGGGGTACTTGGGCTGCAAAGCTTCCTCCAGGGACTCCATCGTCTACTTGAACTGCGTGGGCACATTCGGCCTTGCTTGCGCGGGCTATTGGTGGGCGAGACTCTCTGGGGGTTCGATCAGGCTCATCCATCACTTGACTGGAAGGCGAGCCCTGGAGATCCTTTTGTACGCCGACGACGTGGAGATGATCGGGGGCGACAAGGCGGGAAGAAGGGGCATTGTCCTCTCATACGCCCTCCTGGCTGCATTGGGCTTCCCCTTCAAGTGGTCGAAGACAAAAGGAGGACTGACGGTCCAATGGGTGGGCTATGAGACATCCTACAGCTCTTTCCGGCTGGGAATCTCGTTGCAACGGGCGACCTGGCTCGCTGACTGGACTTTACGCATCTCTCGAGAGGGCAGCGTGACTTGGGATGATTTTGCATGCGGCCTGGGCAGACTGGGATTTGGAGCGAACGCCCTCTCCTGGGAGAGACCGTTCCTCGGTCCTCTTTATTCCTGGTCGGCTGCCACGCGGGGGAGCAGAGGGCTTCTCAAGATCCCGGTCATGCTAAGGACAATCCTCCATTGGATGTCGGGGAGGTTCCGGGGAGAGGACCGGCTCCAGGAACCGCCTCCGGAGCGGCTACAAAAGGGGATGAACAAGTTCAGCTTCTATTCGGATGCCAAGGCCGAGGAGGACCGCGCATGGATCGGCGGCTACTTGTGGGACGGGGAATCGGCACTGCAGTGGTTCGCTCTGGAGGTCCTTGAATCCTGGGCACCGTGGGCCTACGTGAAGGGGGACCTGAAACGTACCATTGCGAGTCTGGAACTTTTGGGCACTCTCATCTGCGTCAAACTTTGGGGCGCCAAGATGAAGGGCAGCGGTGGCGGGTGCGGCCACATCACCGGTGGCACAGACAATCAGGGGAACTCTTATGCGGTATCCAAGCTGATGTCAACGCGGTATCCTCTGCCCTTGCTGCTGATGGAGCTCTCGGAGACTCTACGGGGGATGAACCTCTCTCTTGACTTGTCATGGGTTCCTAGGGAATCTAACGTGTGGGCGGACGATCTCACCAATCTTCGTTTCGATCGTTTTGATCCCTCAAAGAGGCTAGAGATTTTGGGCGACCAGATTGATTGGATCGTTCTGGGAGACCTCTTGAAGTCGGCAAATGGTTTTCATGGTGAGCTTGTTGCAGCGAAGGCTGCGGCGCACAACAAGAGGCAGCCGGTGGCGAAGGCCACCAGTCGGAAGAAGCCTCGCACGAGGTGGTGACTCTTCGGTACCATTCGGCTACGGCGATGCTCGGGTGCTGGGCACATCTTGATTCTTGGGAAGACCGTCTTTCGCTTAAAGCGCTACGGTCATGATGTGCTCTCCGCCGAATGGGAACTCCGATCCATCCTTCGGGAAAAATGAGAGATGTCCGCTTCTGCATGTCAACAGTCCTGCATTCCACATGTCAAGCGTTTCGAGCTTCCGATGATTCATTTCTATACGAAGATATTGGATTCCGGATTTTACATATCCTGATTTTCCGCTTTTGCTTTTGGAAGCTTTTGCTCCTGCCACAGTACCAACAGGTGGTGTCCAGGGGGTGGCTGGTGGGCTGTGGGTTTGACTCGCACGCACGCGTTCGCGACTTGTTGCGTCAGTGTGTGTGCCCTTCAAACCCACGTGCTTTCGGTACACTTTGTGTACCGTCGTGTCTGGGAAAAGAAAACAAGGTTTCTTTATCCCAAAAAGTTTTTGAACTGATTTATTTTACTTGGAAGTCTTTGACTTTGTGAGCTGTGCAACATGAGAATCATGTCGTGACGTTTGTAGCCACAAGGGTCAAGTGGTGAGTTCTGAAGCTCCCACCCTCCCAACCCTGGTGCTGGGCACATCTTGATTCTTGGGAAGACCGTCTTTCGCTTAAAGCGCTACGGTCATGATGTGCTCTCCGCCGAATGGGAACTCCGATCCATCCTTCGGGAAAAAAATGAGAGATGTCCGCTTCTGCATGTCAACAGTCCTGCATTGCACATGTCAAGCGTTTCGAGTTCCGATGATTCATTTCTATACGAAGATATTGGATTCCGGATTTTACATATCCTGATTTTCCGCTTTTGCTTTTGGAAGCTTTTGCTCCTGCCACAGTACCAACAGGTGGTGTCCAGGGGGTGGCTGGTGGGCTGTGGGTTTGACTCGCACGCACGACAAGATGTCGCAGAATGCTTTGCCAGACGGCTTCAGCCTCCAGTCCTTCACGGAAGTCGAGGTTGGGAAGCTGCCCAGCATGTCTGGGCCTTGGGTGCTGAGAGGTGCCGCTGCTGTGGCTGTGGACAAGTGGTCTACGAATGCCATCGTTACCAAGACAACGCAAGCCTACGCAGTGAAGTATAAGGCCTTCCCCGACTACCTCAACCGTGGCAGAGTCTCGGCTGCTTTCGAGGCCAAGCATGGGCACGAGAACACGGTCGACATGTTCTCCGGCATGGTCCCCCACGTGAAGAACATGGAAGCCTTCCCTGCGAGCCAAACCTTTCAGAACACAACCTGGCTCGCAGGATACTCCCCCGAGATGCGGTTCGTTGGTTTGCAAGCCAATGGCGCTTTGACATTGAAAACCATGGCAATGGGTCAGGTCCTACATGTGTGTCTCTCCTGCACGGATGCGGTCAAGGGGCTCATGGAGCTTGGCATCCTGAAACCTGATTCAAAGTTTGCCGATGTCGATGGCTTTTGCAGCCTGCTGGAGGACTTGGACATGGATGCCTTCGTGAAGATGCATAAGGCCGGCGTCAAGCTGTACATGCACAAGGCCATCCCCGGAGAGGTCATCGGCATTCCAATGGGATGGTTTTGCTTCGAGCTTGCTGTTGACGGTGCCGTGCTTGTTGCTGCCCGTCAAGGCTTCTTCATTGTCGACACGTCGGAGGAGGACCTGCAGCAGTACAAGTCCATGCGAGACATCTTGATCATGTGTGGCAAGGCCGGCGACAAGTACAACCAGATCATTGACATGCTTTCTCAGAATGGAGGTGACGGCAACGGTCAGTGAACGTGAAGGTTGACGTGATTGCCGGGGCCGGTGGCGCTGGTGGCCTAGGGCTGGCAATCTGAGTCCTGATGGCATCGTGAATCACGGGTGATGATGCCATATTTTCCTAGGGATGCGATTTGGCAACCAGCAGCTTGAGTGCAGTACAGGTGTTGCGTTGAGTGTATGTTGTACGTAACAGGCATGAAGTGACAGTCCGAGCGTTGGCCGACTGTTACATGAGTGTAGTATAGATTGACAAGTTTGTATGTTTATCTGGTTGATTGAAGCAATGCTTGGTGCAGGGCATGTAGATCAGTCACATGTGAGCTCTTGTCACACCAATAGACATCACCTGCCAGCACTCGTGCGTTCTGAGTGTGGGCTTGCTGCTCGCAGTCTGAACTGTGCCAAAATCAAGATTTGGCTTGGGATTCTCAAAGCCTGCACAGCTGCACGGGCGAACCTGTGTGGCGGTGCTGTGCGGGCGGCTTTCAAGAGCGACGTTTTGTGGCTGAAGTGCTACATTCAGTGCTGAACAAACAAGTCATTGTTCATTGGGGCTCTCAGTCAATGCAAGGCTCAGTGTGCCCGTGCCCAGTGTGCCAGTGAGTCACTGAGTCCATCGAGTGCAAGAGAGAGTCAGGGAGAGCCAGGGCCAGTCAGGGCCGCAGGGCCCCAGGTCCCAGGGCGAGGGTGAGAGTGAGAGTGCAGGTGAGGGCCGGTGAGGGTGACAGCGAGGGACTTTGCGACATGCGGGAGTTGAAACCTTGTGACGTGTGAGTAGTGCTAGTGATGCGACATGCGACGGTCTGTGTGTGAGAGAGAGAGTGAGACATAGAGACGGAGAGAGAGAGAGAGAGAGAGAGAGAGAGAGAGAGAGAGAGAGAGAGAGAGAGAGAGAGAGAGAGAGAGAGAGAGAGAGAGAGAGAGAGAGAGTCAGTGCGAAAGTGTGAGTGACAGTGACAATGAAAGCAGAGTGAGAGCGAACTCACACACTTTGTAATCTTTGTAGATTCAGCATTGGATTGGGATGTGTTGCCTGGGGCAGGACCTGGGCTTTCCGTGCAACAGACCTCGGCTATATGTGCTTGGCATCGCGAAAGACAAAATGGTTTGGATCCCACCGCCAAACGGAGGTGACGAAGCTCAGCGATTCTTCGGCATGTTTGGAGCCGAGACCACCTCCTACGGCGACTGCTATATGACGGATTCGTGGTCGTCTAGGCGCTCCCAGCTATCAGACCGCATGAGGTTGCGTCAGCTTCACTTGGGTGCAGGAGCACTGCTGCAGGAACCGGCAGACAGGGCGGAACGATTCCAGTGCTTGTGCAATGCAGCCAACCCGAGCAACACCGCTGCTGCAAGGGCATATGAGCAGATCCGCCAGGAACGCCCGTGCACGGAGATGGACTTGCCCTTCTTTTGTGATTGGGAGCAGAACCCGGCCGCTGGAAAATGCACTCCGTCGCCCTTCGTGCCTTGCTTGTTGACGCATGGCAACCTGGTGGAGCACACATCCGCCCGAGCTTTGACTGATGCTGAGCTCCTCAATGTACATGGTTGGGGAACTCTCAGGAACGACCGCTACAGCTCCGACATCATGCAGGTCGTCGCCTCACTATCCTCTTCGTCGGCAACGATTTCGAGAACTATGAAGACATTTGTGGGCAAGTCGATGCACATTCCGAGTGCGCTTGCTGTCCTACTGTATGGCTTCACAAACATGTTGCGGCTGAGTGACGTGAACTCCAGAGCATGGCTGATCGCCCGCCGATCTGCCTCGTGGAGCAATGAGATCGGGGCCGCTTCTCCAGGCCGGCGTGCTGCTGCTGCTGCTTTGTGTGATGCTTCGGCTGAGTCTTCGATGGCGGCCAGCCCAAAGAGAAAGAGCAAAGGCAAAGGCCGTGGAAGAAAGCGGCAGGCAGAGGACATGGCTGATGATGCGGCCGACGATGTTGCATTTCGAAGAGCTGCGAGTACGATTTTCGACTGATGGGTAAAGCGGTAAATCTTGCGGCCGTGCTTTTTCCAGCTCGAGGCATTCCAACAGCGGCAGTGTGGCAGTTTGTACAGCAAATCCCATGGGGAACAGACTCAGTGGCTGTTGATGAGTGTGCGAAACATCCATTCCGAGCAAGCTTTATGTGAGGTTCGTCAGTTCGTGCAGCCAGGTAGTGTCAGCTCAGCAGAGCATCCAGGTTTCTTTCAAATCATTTCGTTTCCGTCGCGTTCGGCTTTCTAATTTCTCTCCTGGTATGGGGTATCCAGACCTCAGTTTTCCCAATGTCATCTCCCCCGAAAGCTTCCTTCTTTTTTTCTCCTCGTGCACCCCTTTTCACCCTTCGTTGGTCGTGAGCTGCGGCTCGGGAAGGAGGTGGTGGGTTGTTTTGTTTTGGGTGCCCTTCGTGCGAAAACGTGCTCTCGTGCTTCGTTTCTCTCACTTCTCGCCCCCCAATTTTGAACACACAAACACTCAACACATACGAGTGTTGACTCTGACTAGCGGGCACAGAGGTTGCAGTGCAGCTTCTGCCGCACGTTCAGGCCCTCATGAGCATTACCCCCCCCAACATTCCCTAAACCCGACCCTAAACCTTAAACCCTACCTTCAGCCCGAGCCCGAAACCCTAAAATCCCCCCAAGGCTCAAACTGAGGCTCAGATACCGGCCCAAACCTTCAAACTAACCATATATTGGGCTGTCAAGTGGGGTGTCGCCAGCAGACCTGGGGAGTCACAGCAACAACGCGGAAAGCGTTAACTTACTAGACGGACAGGCGGGAGGCACTTCCGCTCCCAGTCTTTCTCTTGGGTATCTTTGAAAGGTATCCTGTTGGAGCTTGGCTCGGTCTCTGATAGACTTTTCGTTGGTGCCCTGCTGCTATGTTGCTGGGTCAGCCTTCGGCTCAGTGACGCTCAGCATATACGTTGGGGGGCCATTCAATCGGGTAGCTGGTGCTTGCGAGGTGTTTCCTACCGTACAAAGGTTAGCCACCGTGGGGTTCCTTTCGGTTTAGTGAATCAAGGGATCAATGGTTTCAAGAGAGCCTACACATCTACCTGGGTTTGCAAATACCTTCAATTGCTTGGGGAGACTTGGGATGCAGTCTGTGCGGCATTCGAGGATGTTGAACCTGATTGTTTGTTTTTCGAACATTCAGCTTCGGAATTCCGTCCACTGTCATACGGAGAAGTGCTGACAAAGCTACGGGCAGTCTTGTGCAGCTTTGGCGTGGAGCCTCATCTTGCGCAGCAATTCACTGTGCACTCCTTGAAAACCTCCCTTTTAGCAATGATAGCCCAACGGGGCTATAGGACGAGTCGCCGAGAGGCTCAAGGTCACCACCAATCGAATGCTAAGAGTGCGCGGCTTTATTCACGTGATGATATCTGGGCAGCCCTCGAAGCCCAACAAGCTTTGCTTCGCTCCTTCCGAGAGGGTTGGATTCCAGCAACAGCTCAAGCGCGTGGTGGGCAACATCCAGTTCCACAGCGCCCTTTCGAACATCCTGTTGTGCAGTGCAGTCCGGGCATGGTTCATCCACATTTTCCGATGCTTGATGTGCAATCGCCAGCTCCGGTAGCTTCATCTTCTCAGGAGGCAATTACTGTCTCCCCTGCTTCAGGTGCACCTTTGGAGCCACCTGGAGCCGAGGATTCTTCTACCAGCTGTTGCAGTGCAACGGAGGCCAATCTGCGCGGGCCTTCTGCCGCGAAGTATGATCCAGCTGATTGTGAGGAGTTCGTCTTCCTCCGGTCGCAATCGGGGGTGGTTCATGTTGCCATGCCTCATGAAGGTGAGGGCGGTTGGCGTGACATCCACGCAGCTTCGTCCTAAGTGCGGTACCTTGGCCAAGAAGTTTGAGGTGCTATATTCGCTCCCAGACAAGGTGCGATTTTGCATGCATCCTGGGTGTGCAAGACTGCTGGCGGCAGTTTAGTGCGTGTGCATTTTGCCGCGCCTTTCGATCATGATTGGGAAATGCAACGTTTGGGTGTGGTGTGCACCTGTCTTGTGCCTTTGGGCACACGGAATGCCTTGGATGGCAGCCTCGGGGCTTATGCGCCGGTTTTGGGCAAACGAGTGGTGTGCTCGTCTTTTTTGCGTGCCTGGAAGTGCACGGGTGATTCTGCTAGCTCGTCGCTAGCTTGGTGTGCAAACGGCGCACGCAATCCGGTAGAAAACAATGCTTCGCATGTATTCGTCAGTTTTCTCTCTCTGAGGTGGCGGTGGTTGCATGCGGTCATGCTCTCTGACAAGTCGGTAGTGAACTTGCGAGGGGCAACGATTCATGGGCAGTGCAGCTTTTATTTTGTTTCAGGTGACACGAGTGGCTCGAAATGCTTGTTCATGTTTGCGGTTTTCTCACGCAGGCTGCATTCACCTTCATGTGTATGTTCGTAGTTGTCAAAGACTCTCTCTCTGGAACGCTGCAGGGTAGGTACATGCTACTTGTCATGGGCTCTCTTTTCTTGAAATAGGTGCGTTCTAGCATTTCTTTCTCGCGATCATGGTTTCCCTTGAGGATGCAACCGACAGGCAGTCGGGCAATCAGAGCATGGATGCCTTGCTCGAAAAATCAGGCATACCTGAAGTCATTTGGTCGGAAATCCAGATTTTCAAGCCGGAGGAGTTCGGAGCTTTGTCGCAGGCTGATCTTCAGTCCTTCATTGATGGGCTGGTTTTCCCATCGGAGCCATCTGATATCCTGATTAAGGCAAGGTTGCGCTTATTGTGGAAGCGCTGCAACTCTAATGAGTCGGAGCATGGGGCTGCAGTATTGCATTCGTCCGCAATGGAGCCGCTTAAGCCACTTTCTTTGAGCGAGCCGTCCACTTGGACAGATGCGTTCCCTAAAAAGCTCAGTTCGGCTGCTGTCAGGACCATGATGAAACGCTTTAGTGAGAAGTACCCTTCGGAACCATTGGGCAGTGACGTCACGCCGAGTCCAAGGTTGCTGTCCTTGGTTCATGCCCAAATCCAGGAGCATCGCTGGCGCTGGATCCCGTGGAAGCTCAGGCTATCCGAGGACCAGCATGAGTCCAAGTCCATGGAACGATCTCTCAAGGCGCCTAGGCTGGAGAGCGTTCTTTGGGAGGAAATACCCAGTCGCGATTTGCCAGCCCAGAACATGGGCAAAGCACAGATGATGGAGAGTCTCCATTTGCAGGCGGTTGCAAATGCCCTGGCAGAAGGGGCGCACTTGTATACGCTTCGGGAGCTCAATCGGCGTTTCATCACTAAGTGCTTTGAGCAGTATCCTAAGGAGACGAACTTGCGTCCGCCCAATAGAATTGAGGCTGAGCTAGCAGAGCAAAAGCTGTGGCAGCAGATTGCATCTCTGTACAACGACGAGGAGTGGTCTCTGGATGAATCCATCAGGGAGATTGCCATTGCTCGCAATGAGGTTCAAGTGCTCCTTATGCCGCGTGCTGTGCCAGCCAAGTCACAGTTCCAGGATCGTCAGCGCAAGGGCAACGGCAAAGGCAAGTTGGGCAATGCTGGCAAAGGTGATAAAGGCTCTCTGAAAGGTTCTGAGGGCAAGGGTGCTCACGGACAGACATTTCAAGTGCAGGGCCATCGTGTCGGAACTTCTTGGCAGTCAGGCAAGACCCGTCGTCTGCTGTGTCAGGACTTCCAACTGGGCAAGTGTACGCGAAGCAACTGTCGCTTTGAGCATGTGTGTGGTGTGATCATGCCAGGTGGCCGCATGTGTCTCGGTGATCATGCACCGGCCGATCACAAGCGCACCCCGCATTGAGGGGACGGGTGCATGCCTTCGCATGAACTCATGGGTGCTGAGCATGCGGCCGACGATCGCCCTCTGGTTCCAAGTGCGGAGGTGTGTGAACCCCGGGTTGCATGTTTTTCTTCGTTACTGGCTCAGCCTCGGGAGTGCGGTGATGCTACACCGGATTCCATGTTTTCCTGCCACTCTCCAGTTGACATTAAGTTGCCTCAACAGGATGGTCCCATTTTGCATCCGTCCGCGCCAGCAGCGCGTGGACCTGCCTGCAATGCGAGTGCTACTGAGGCAGCGTCGTCCGCTCCTGGTGCTACTTCGCATGATCACGCAGCGCCTAGGGCTGCTACAATTTTTGATCAACTTCTGCAGATACTTTAGCAAGCAGCCTGGCCAGCGGATAGTGCGTGTCGTCAGGTGGCTCAGCGGAGTGCTGCTGATTTTTCGGGCTACTGGAATTTTGGGGTTCGTGCCTCAGCCCCGCACGCTTTTACTAATATCACGCAACAGCTGCCTACGGTTGTGTCCGCTTTGAATCACCTCTGTCGCCAGCTCTGGCCGGCGGGACGTTGGAACTCTATGGCTCTATGGCTATCAACTGCAACCATGCTCTTGATATGCACATGGATAAAAATGCTGCCGGCAGCCTTAATTACACACTCAGCTTGGGTGAGTTCTCTGGCGGGGCTTTGTGGATTGAGGACGAACAGGGCGACCTTGCACAGCAAGTGCCGGGTACGCATTCGTGGCTAGCTGGCCGCGCTGTGTCTACTTTTTGTAACCCTTTGGCTTTTGATGGTTTGCTGAGACATAAGACCGCTGGTCAATCACATGCTACTCCTTGTCGGGGGCTGCTACCTCGGAGCTTACACAGCTTGGTTTTCCATGCGAGGTACCACCAGCCGTCTGTCATGCGCCGTCTACTGAGCCTGCTCAAGCTGTCCTCTGTCCACTGCGATGGCAGCCAAAGGGATCGATTGTACTCCCGTTGACATTCTGCGTCACCAGGCAGATGACTTGCGGTGCGATAGCACTTTTGACCGTATTCTCAGGCTGGCATTTTCAGGATGCGTTGCTCTTGCTCATGGTTCGCCACCATGCGGTGAATACAGTGTTATAAAATTTTTTCCGGGTGGCCCTAAGCCCTGTAGATCCTGGGATTTTCTTGATGGGTTGCCGGATAATGATGCAGACGCGCAAGCACGGGTCAAGAGTAGTAAGTTGCTCCTTACCCGTACCATTGCAATCTTGCACGCGGTTTTTCAGTCCGGTGGACATGTTAGTTTGGAGCAGCCCCGCAACGCAATGTCTTGGAAAGAACCGGTTACTCAAGCGTTTCTTCTTGCAATTTCCGCGGACTTGAATCAGGTCGCTGCCGGTTCCTTCGGCTTGCAAGCTCCCAAGCATTGGGTTTTTGCCTCGAGTTGGAGGCCTCTCCAACAGTTGCAGAGCACATGTCCGCATGGTCCCAATGCCCATTCGGACTTTCACAGCAAGCGTGCTGCAGATGGGATCTTTCCGTTCTCGGGAGACAGCTGTCTTCCCGGATGCGCTATGTGCTGCATATGCTGTGGCTGTGTGGCCCTTGTTTGAGGACTCCCCTAAGGCCCTAAGGAGTCGCCAGGTTCTTTTCTGGACGTCGCAACCGCTTTGCAAACGATTCCTGCACGAGCCTTGAACGATTTTCCTACGGCACAACAAGACGGCGGCGGTATCTACAGCTGCCCAGACTGGACGTCCCCGCCGACTGGAGTGCAGGATATCTTTCGTTCTTTACGTTCTGACCTCATGCAGTTCTTCTTGCAACACCGCATGTTCGACAGGCTTCGCAAACATGTCGCAGAGCAGTGCCATGACCCCCTGTTCAACCCTCAGGAAGTGCAGTTGCTTAGGAAGATCTGGGAAAGCTGGTTTAAGGATAGGGGTTTCACAGATGAGGTTTCATGGGATGCGGCCCCCAATCAGCCGTATAGCTTATGTGCTTTGCAGCTTTTGAGCCGCGTTCTTGAGGATCGTGATACGGCATTGTGGCCGGCGTTGCAGGCTGGCGTGGCTACTGGGGTAGATGGGGATATTTCCTTGAGCAATTGCTTGTTGCCGACACCGGCTGACTTTGATCCGAATGCGTTTGATGTCCAGATATGTTCGGGTAATTGGCCAGGGGCTAATGAGGAACCTGAGCTCCTTGCGGAACTTGTTCAGCAGGAGGTGGATGCTGGGTATTTGCTGGTCTTTGATTGTTTGGAGGAAGCCCGGCAGAAATGGTCGCGCATTGCCATGCTTCCATCATGCGTGCGTGAATGAGTTTTATTTCCCGCCGAAAATGTAGACAAAGTTTGTCGAAAAGGAAAACAGTGTTTTCACTGCGTGTTGAGAACACTAGACAACACTTTGCCGTGCAGCTTTCGGCTTGAAGTTAGGATCTGTGATCCCAAAAATTTTTCTCCCGCCCACCACACCCTGTATAGTATGCAGGTATATGCGTTTTGACCATCTCCAGCAGAGCTGTGTGAGATTGGTCAAGTACTACGCTCAGCGAGCCATTCAACTCTATATGTTGGCATTCCTGTATAGTATGCAGGTTTTAGCCAAACGGACGTCCTGCAACAGTGCTGTGAGAGTTCGTCCTCTGCCACACTCAGCGAGTGAGTCGTCTTTCGCGGTACAGTGTACCTTCTTGTACATAGTCCGTAGACTGTCAGAGGTAGTTTGTGCTAATTCTGAGGGTCAGTCACTCTCTGAGTTGTTTCACACAGAAGAATCCTGTGGTACAGGCTTCCTCCCTGGTAGGGAGGGGGGAGGGGTCGACATTCCGTCCCCTGCCACACTCAGTGAGTGAGTCGTCTATCGCGGTACAGTGTACCTTCTTGTACATAGTCCGTAGACGGTCAGGAGTACTCCGTGCTAACCTGGTACAGGTTCCTTCCCTGGTAGGAGGGGGGTGGACGAGTCGCTCGCCTTACCTGCGACCAGCGGTCGTCTTTACGAGAGATGCCAGTGGCCATCCTCTCTGTACAGTTGCCCGAAGATCGGGTCCGAACTCACCCCCCATATCCGCTAGGAGAAAAAAGGAGTGCTTTGCACAGGGTTTCACTGCAGCGCAGTTGAGGGTTCCCTGAAACGTGCGCTTACGAAAGTTTCGTTGGGAAATAAAGGCAAGGTCAATGTAATCAAAAGCCCTAACAGGAAGCCGCGCCTAATTGTAGATCCCTCCGTTTCAGGCGTAAACCCCAGTTGTCACATCCCAGAACGGTTTCTGCTTCCAGGCTTGAGTGACATCAGAGCTTCTTACCCTATGCGGGGTGTCGTAGGCGAAGTTGAGGCCTGTACATTAGACATTGCTGCGGCGCACAAAACGGTTCGGATCCGGGAATCCGAACAAGGACTACTTGGTTTTTCGGTCAATGGCCGATATTACTTCTACCGGGTGGCCCCGTTCGGCGGGTCATTTAGTGCTCTTTGGTGGCAGCGCCTGTCAGGCTTTTACGTGCGCACGTGCCACCGCCTGATCTACATCAGCCACATTTTCTTGATGTACGTTGATGATGCACTGCTTCTTCAGCATAGGGAAGCCCTTCCGTTATCGGCCTTGTTGGTTTTAACCCTCTCGCAATCTTTCGGGTATCCGATTTCATGGCGAAAACTGCAGTTAGGCCCCAAAATTGAATACATCGGTTGGTTGATAAACTTCCGATCGGGCTCCTTGTCCTTGACTGATCACAAGGTGGCAAAGTTGCTCAATGCACTCACTCAGCTTGCAGCATCTGATCCTTGCAACAAGCGTGATCTTCAGGCAGTCATCGGCATGTTGCATTGGGTTTTGCAAATGGCACCAAGCTTGCTTCCGTGGCTTTGCACGCTGTACCACGATTTGGCACGGCCGCTGGGTACGAACTTTAGCTTGAATGCTGCAGCTTGGCAGCTTCTGCCTTCATATCTGGATGCGAGGATGATTTTTACTTCCACGCCGCCTGGCACAAGCATCAAGGTGGGCAGTCGCTTGTTGAGTGTGCGCCATGTGGAGATGTCGGACAAACAGGATTTGGCTAAGGTTAGATGCACTGGTAAGCGCCTCTGGGCTAGGGTGGCCGATCCTTCATCCACCAAGCGTAAGCTGTCTTTGCAGAGTCGCACTTTTGTCGAGTTTTGGATGCAATGGTGTATCACGCCTCAGATGCCGCGGGCCTTGTCTTTCCCGCCGTTGGATTTCAGCTACGTGCTTGCAGCCGATGCATGCGCAAAGAAGGATGACATCGGCATTGGCGGTTGGGTCCAATTGCCGAATCAGCCGGCCGTTTGGTTTGCTCAAAAGTTCAAGGTTGCACAGTTCAGGGCTTTGGGGTTGCCGGTTCAGGATGACGCGAACTTGGATATCACATCCTATGAGACATTGGCTCAGCTGGCGCTTTTGATTTGCTTTGCATCCTTTACGGCATCTGGCCGCATGCGGGTAAAAATCCCTTCGTGGTCGGATAACTCTGGCACTGAAAGTGTGGCCAACAAGTTGTTCACGGTCAAGACTCCTTTGTGCTTCTTTGCGCACTTGCCACAGTGGCTTGGCGCACGGGCATCGTTCTGGATTGCTCGCATATCGCCGGATGTCATAACGACAAGGCAGACTGGTTAAGTCGTTGGTCAGGTGATGCGGCAGAGTTGCCTGAAACTTGGTCCTTGGATCATCGGGTCAAGTGTGACTTGCCGACTTTGTGGGAAGGTGAGCGTGATGTTCGAGTATTTTCCACCTGGTGCAACTTTCATGTGGGAGCCGACCAAGGCATCCGTAGGGCGTTGAGGCCTTTCGGCCGGTGTCTGGCGAGGAGCGCTTGGCAGCACATGGCATCAGTCAGGTTCGACAGCTCGCGGTGCGCGGTCGGCTTGCCTTCCCCCGTGAGTGTTGGCGTTCCTGGGAAGCTGGTGTCAACTGTGCAGCATCGCCGGGGTTCGGGCTCTCACGGTGCGTGGTTGGCTACGCCTTCGCCCGTGATCTCCTGCCGTTCCCAAAATGGCGGTGTCCAACA